TTTCCTCTTGCAGTGTCCTACATTTAGCCATTAGCATCTTCCCCATTTTGCTTTGTGGGGTAAAATTGACTGCAGCAATGTTATCATGCAACTCCTTCACTTTCTTATCCTTCTCCTCAACCAAATTCTGGCATTGCAAAATAAGAAAAGATGTAAGCAAGAGTGCAATCAGGCAAGCAAGCCCATGAAGGAACAATGAGAAAGTCAACTAAACTACATGCCAAAAGCATCCAAAAATTTAAGCACCAACATGCTTTATTCATTGGCAAAAGGATGCATCATCAGAGCTCATAGAGCAATTCAAAAGGCAACCAGTAACTATGTCACCAACAGAACACTGCCCCCAGTAAATAACGAATACCAGCCAACCATCATAGAGACTTGGAAGCACAACGAAGTTAAAGTATGGAACCACTAAATAAGTGTATCAAATTCCTCTATATACATTTCAACTTGAAATTAAAATTAAAGTCCAGAACTTACCTTCAGTCTAGTGAACTCTTCATGAATTGCTGGATCCAGCAATAGCTTCCGTGCCTGTTAATATACCCCCCAAAAGAATAAGGAAACTGAGCAAAAAGTGAACCACCAATAAAGAGATTAAAAGCAAATGTTAACCCCATTTTTTTTTTTTTTGAAACGTTATGGTATAAGATGAGAGAGAGAGAGAGAGAGAGAGAGAGAGAGCGCACTCAGTGCAGATGCATATCATAGCAGAAAAGAACACAAAGCTGCAAAGGTGTATTCAGCAAATCATAGTGCTGTTCTGAGAAGAAAAAAAAAAGATAAAAAAGAACATAAAGAATTAAAAAAACAGAAAGGGTTTTATTCCATAAATCTGGCGCATTGCAACGTCTAGATTTCTGGAAAGTACTGGAATTAATTATATATTCCTTGAAACTTTCTTCTTAGTACCATCTGTTCTCACCTAACAGGAACATCTATTAGGCATCATTGAGCATATTTGAATCCAAATCTTAGAGAAACTAGTTAAAGGGGCATCTGGTGTGTGTGCATAATTTTGGTTTAGGAAAGAATAAAAGGGCAGCCCGGTGCACTAAGCTCCCGCTATGCGCGGGGTCTGGGGAAGTGCCGGACCACAAGGGTCTATTGTAAGCAGTCTTACCCTGCATTTCTGCAATATG